TGGTTTTGGTGTTAGTTGTACAATACTTGAATAGGATAAAAAGCCATTGAATTGTACAACTTAATTGGGGGACTGAATGATATATGAACTGTACCTCAGTAGAGCTGTTTAAAAAACAGGTGGAGGGGCTGGGGATTTAGCTCAGCGGCAAAGTGCCTGCCTGGCAAGCACAAGGTCGTGAGTTCGGTTCCCGGTACCAGAGAAAAACCAAAAAAAAAAAATAAAAAATAAAAAATAAAAAATAAAAAACAGGTGAAAAGTCATTGCCCTACTTGGCGCACTGAGTGGATGGAGAGTAGGAGTCAGGTCTGTGAGTCATGGTGAGCTGGAGCTGGTTCTAACACCCACCACTTCAAGGAGGAGAGGTTAATTTTAGTTCACGGTTTTAGTCCCTAGCTGGCTAGCACTAAGGCATGATGGCATGGGGAGGAGTCTGGCGGAGGAAAGTGGCTCACCTCATGGCAGCCAGGAAGCAGCAAGGGAAAGGCAGAGCCAGGGAGGGTGACGCACTCTTCAGGCCAAGCCTCAGTTTAATATTTAAATAACAGTGCATCAGACTTCATGGGTCTCAACCTCAGCAAAGTTCTAGAAGGCAGGGGCTGCGGTATAGGCAAGGCCACCTTCTCTTCCCTGCTTCCCAGGGAGCCTGAGTCAGGGTGGTCTGAGGGGTGGCTGTCCCTATGCCAGCGGTCATGTGCCTGCTGAGCCTCAGCTGTAGAATCAGTGGGTTTTTAGTTGATGCCCTGCACCCTGCTTCCCCTGGCCCCGGATAGTATCTGCTTTTAAAGACTCCCCAGGAACAGCCCTGAGTTTGGATTTCTCAGGAATAAACTTGCAGCCAGTCAGTGCCAGGCCTGTGGTGTAGAGACGGGAAGACCAGGACAGTGGTCTTCCAGGACTGGTCCTCTGAGGACCTGGAGAACATTTTAGAGCCTCTGCAGTGTGCTCAGCTTTGCTCAGGTTTCCCCCGTCCTCACTCACTGAGTCTAACACCAAACTGTGAACTAATGCTATTTCCTTGCCGATTAATTGATTCATGACACTGAGGACTGAACCCAGGGCCTTCCCACTGAGCTACATCCCCAGCCCTTTCTCAAATTTGTAATTTCAGACAGGGCCTTGCTAAGTCACTAAGTTGCCCAGAGTGGGCTCAAACTTGTGATTCTCCTGCCTCAGCTTCCCAGAGCACTGGGATCACAGGCAGGAGCCACCACACCTGGCTGTTTGTCCCTTTTTGGAGTGGAGGACATGGAGACTTTCCCACTGTTACTCAGAGTAAGAGGAGATTCACATCCAGCCTGTCTGAGCCAAAGCCCCTGGTCTTTCTCCTGGACCAGTTCCTCTGATAACTTAACAAACAGGCCCAGAGGAGGAGACACCCCATGCACACACACAGAAAGGGACTGTGCTCCAGGGCCCAGCTTTGCAGGATATTCTTGGGCCTCTTCCGGGTGTGCAACCTGCCTTCCAGTCATCTGCTTGTTTCTTTTCCCCAGTCTCCCGCAGGGGACCTTCTTTGAAACTCCAGGCTGGGGCCTCATAAGAGAAAAGGAAAAAGAATTATGTATGTTCCTAGTCCTGAGCCTCGAGTCTCCCTCGCAGGATGCCTTTTGTTGCCAAGAAAGATGAAACAGATGTCTTGGCAAGTGCTTCAAATGTTTCCTGCCAAACAAGGGGAGAGCTTGTCTTCAGTCTAGATGTGGCCAAGAAAGACAAGTCCCAGCCGGTCTTAGTCACAGGAAATGTGCGCGCGCGCACGCGCGCGCGCACACACACACACACACACACACACAAAGCTTTTAAAACTTGGGCAGCCTGCAGCTCCCAGTAGCCGGTCTTCCCCAGCATTTCAACATCAGCTAAAGAAACATGCTGCTCCCTCACCTGCCTCCTCTGCCCACTAGATTTCCGAGGTCACTGCTGCTGTGCAGCCTGCCTCACCCCACGCCCTCCACCCCACAGCCACGTCACCTTCCTTTGGGGCTTGTTCCCATCGTACCCTGCCACGCTCTGGGGTGGGAGCTGGTGAAGCACACATACTGTAGAATGTAGCGTTTAACCACTTGAAAGTGAATAATTTGGTGGTGATTCCCGATGTCCACAATGTCATGCAACCATCACCCCAAAAGTAAAACTTATACCCACAAAGCAGCCACTCCCATCCCCACCCCGTCCTCTGTGTTCTTGAACCTCCTGTTCTGGATAGTAAATACAAATGGTGCAGCATAGTATGTGGCCTCTTGTGACTGGCTTCTTCTGCTCAGGTTCATTGTTTTGGGGTCTCTCCGTGTTACCATGTACTGGTATTTTATTGCTGTACTTCATGGAACTTATGACTGGATAATATTCCACTGTGTATGTATTTGAATATCACATTTTATTTATTCATTCATCTGTTGATAAACATTTGGCTTATGTTGTAATCAGCATTTACGAGGGAATAGATTTAATACAGGACAATTATTTTCTGAACTAATGTCACAAATACAAAGACAATTTTTAGAGTTATAAGAGAATAAGAGTGAGATCTGAAATCTAAATAAAGTGGACAACTTTCTTGAAAACCTAAATGAACTTGAAAAGAATTAGAAAATCTTGAGGCTAGTGTGCAAAGAAGAAACAGATAATTATCAGTGAACTAAGTTCCTCTGAAGACAGCCTCAGGAAGGAGTGTGATGGTTGACAGCCAGGTGAGGATGGAGACGGAGTTCTGTGGGGACCTTGTCTCCAGTTTTGAGTTTTTACTGACGGTTCTGCTGTCCCGATCCCCACAAGAGTCCAGGGGCCCGTTTTGGATGTGGCCTCCAAGGCTCCTCCTCAAACAGGGCCGCTGAAGCAGGGTCAGGATCTTCTCCAGCTGAGCCCAAAGCCCCACAGCCAACGAAAAAATGACTTGTGGAAAAGCAGAGCCAACAGCAGGAGGCCGCCTCTCACTCGGTAGCAACAGCGATGTCAGGCTTAAAGCAGGGCACAGGAGAAGACCTGTGTAAAGTTACTAGCTCATAACCGTGAGACAAAGCAAAGCAAAGCAAAACACCACCCTGCTTTGGGGATGCTGCCAGCTTCAGGGTGAGCCTGTCCTGTTGGGGCCCTGCCTTCCTGCTCTGCCAGGACTATGAACCATCTGAGGTCTTCAAGGCTGCAGGTCTCAGGTCCTGATGGCGCCCAGAAGCACTCACTGCCCAGCAAGCAAGGCCAGGAATTTTGTCCTCCACAGGGGCCTGGGGAGACTTCAGGCTGAGGTTTCAAAGCCACTCTAGAGGCCAATGTGGGCCAGGGTCTCCTGGCAAGACCTGTCTCCTTGGGGCCATACAGCCCAGTCCTACAGCTAGCTGAGGTTTTGGGGAACTCCTGTAGTGTGGTCCTGCTCCCCAGGCTGCTCTCAGCCTCATCCTGGGGGTGGGGGCGAGGCGGTGGAGGAGGTGCATCATTTGGTGGCTGTGGTCAGCTGTGTCTCACCTCTGAGAGACACCAGCCACCTTGGCATGCATCCTGCCTGCTTGCCAGTTTAGGATAGCCCCTGGTGGCCTCAGGAAGAAGGAAATCACTTGGAGGAGAGAGGTGCTTTTGAGGAACTGAGGCCAGCCAGTGCCCAGGGCTCCAGGATGCCTGGGGAAGCATCTGGGTCCCTTTTTCATAGGGCTGATGTCTCAGAGCTGGTGCTTTCTAGGTTAACGAGTCTCTCCCTTGTGCAGCTTGTTGTTTTTTGTTTTACATAGATTTTACTTTCTAGAGCAGTTTTACGTTCACAACAAAACGGAACAGAAAGTGCAGAGCCCTGTATACCCCTGCCCACACATTTGCTGTTCCCTGACATCTGGGCCAGACAAGTGTGTGTGTCCCAGCTGGCCTGAACACTCCCTGTCACCTGAAGTCCACATCCGGCTCACCACAGGGAGCCTAGGGGTTTGGACAGTGCAAAGTAACACATTGTGTCGTGTCCTAAAAGTCCAGTTCTCTGCCTACGGGTGCCTCCTTGCCCTGTAATCCTTGGCACCATTTGACCTTTTTACTGTCTCTATAGTTTTCCCAGAATGTTATAGAATGGAAACCACATGTCTTTCAGGCTTATGTCTTTCACTCAGTAACATTCCCTTCAGCTTCCATTTCCACGGCTCACAGCTCATTTCTTTTGGTGCTGAGCCCTACGCCAGAAATATTACAGTGTGTGTTCCACACATCTCCTGGAGCACGTTGCAGGTGCTTCCAGGTTTTGGCACTTAGGAATAAAGCTGCTGTAAACATCTGTGTGCAGGTTTTTGTGTGGGCATAAGTTTTCAGCTCCTCTGGGTAAATATTAAGGACCATGGCTGCTGGATTGTGTGGAAAATGTTCAGTTTGGGGTTGTTGCTTCCTTCTTAACAGCTTCACTGAGGTATAACTGAGGTGCAGTACCCTCCCCACATCAGGTGCACAGTGGGATGCGTTCAGAGACCATCTATGGCCGTGCTCGGGCCTCAGGTCACTTCCTCACTACAGAAGGCTGCTTCAGGGCCACTTCAGTCAGTCCTCCAACGCCTGCCTGGCCCCAGTGCCCGCACTGTGCTCGGCTCTGGGTCACCACCAGGCCTCCACAGAAATGAGGTCCTACAGCCTCTGCTTTCGGGTCTGGCTTGTTTCACTTAGTGTGGTTTTGAAGCCCATTCATCCATGTTTTACCCACAGGAAGTTTCCTCTTTTCTTCTGCACAGAGTGTTTTGCACTATGTACGGTCTCCATTGTGTGTTCATCCATGACCACAGGCAGATATGTGGGCTACTTCAGGGGATGGAGCTGGGGGTGGGTTGGGGTGGGGGCTACTGGGAACAATACCACCGTGATCACTGCACAAGTCTGTGCGGACTTCTGGAAGGGACAGGCCGCTGGCTCACTCCGTCCCCCCACCCAGATGATGTGGACTGGGGTGGAGGGAGGCACAAGGGAGAGAGGAGAGAGCAGCTCTGCCCTCACCGCAAGCCAGCAAGGCCTGGGCTATGGGACCAACGGCAAGGCCTCTGTCCAGGTCCTCACTCCCCACCACCCTCCCGCCTGCCCAGCAAGCTGCTCTAACAAAAGGTCAGGGCTGGAGAGAGGGTGGTGTGTTTATTTCCTGTCTCCATGGCACTGGTCTGCAGTGTGGGGTGAGCTGGGAGGAGCGCCCGCGCCACCGCCCCGCTGATGTTATCAGCAGTCATCAGAATGACTCCTGTCCACGCTGTCCATCCTTCCTCCCTCCCACACCCACACTCCACAGACCCCGGCCCAGGCTCCTCCGTGGGTCTCCTGGTTTTGCTCGTGGTGTGTCTCTGTGATCCCCAGCACGAAGAGAGGCAGCTGAAGCAACTGGCATCCGTGGCAGAGCAGCTCACAGAAGGTAAGAGGCTGGCATAAGGCGACATGTCTTAGGAACAGTGTCTCTCTCCTCCTGAAGGCCCAGTGCTCCCTCTCTAGGAACAGGAGACCCTGCAAACCCCACAGGTCCTTAGGCACATGGACAGCATAATTTTAATCATTCTCACATAATGTAGAATGTACCAGATACTGAAGAAAGCATTCTCCAAAAGTCAACTCGCTCCAACTTTATGACGACCTAACAGGCAAGGAACGGCCAAGGTCACACAGGCCAGAGAGCCACGAATGGCTCCCACCTTCAGGTGCTGCACCCTGTGGCCCGTGGTTTTTTTTTCTTTTTCTCAAGTCATTTTTTCTAGTAGTTTTATAGAGGCATAATTTATAAACCATTCATCCCACCCTTCTGAATGACATTAGTAAGCTTGTAACCTTGTGTAAGCATAACAACAGCCCCAAGCTGAGCATACTTCTGCTGCCTCAGGAAAGGTTCGCAGTGTCTATGTGCAGTTGCTGTTGGTCCCAACTGCCACCCTGCGGCATCTACTAACCTACTGTCTCTGTAGGTTTGCCTGGCATTTCATGTGAGCAGACTCATGTAATATGGGATCCTTATAGTCTGGCTTCTTTCACTTAGTGTGATGTTTCTGAGGTTGATCCATGTTGCAGCAAGGATCAGCCTGTCATTCTTTTTTTTATGGCCAAGTGATATTCCACTGTAGGACTGTACCCATTTTCTTTATCCATGCAGCAGCTCATGGACTCTGGCTGTGATAATAAAGCTGCAGTGAACATCTGTGCGGAAGCCTTTGTGTGGACACGTGGTATTTCCCTCGCTCTTTGTGCACACGTGTGAGTAGAATTGCTGTATTGTACTAAATTTCTCTACAACAATCTGTTGAACTTCTTTCCAAGTTGCTGCACCATGCTGAAAGCCCACATAGGGATCTGACAGTCTGGGAAGCCTGGGTGCAAAGCCCCTCAGAGCCCCAGAACCACGTGGACAGCGTGGCAAGGCTGTCACTGGTAGTTGGTGTCCTTTGGTCGCTTGGTGTTTTCTGATGTCCAGGAAACAGGTGGAGAAGCAGCTCAGTGTTTACCTCCTTATCCGAACAAACTGTCCAGGGACAGGGAGTGGGCAGGGCAGCCGGTGAGCCACAGGGGAACCACAGTACATGTGGAGCCACCGACAGCTGCAGCGTTTTGGGAGACCAGTGTCAGCATGCGGCTGCAAAAGTCGCCAAAGGCCCAGCTCCGGAAGCCGGAGATCCCCCCAGTGTGGCTTTGTCCCGAGAGGCCCAGTGAGGATGACAGGGAGCCAGCTGCCTGGAAAACCCCACTGGGTGGAGCTCTGCCGCCCCACCGAAAGGTGGATCTGGGCTGTGCTGCCCAATGTGTCAATGGCTCAGAGCTGCACGGATGCTCCAGTGCAGTGCAGTCCCTGTGTTTTGCCCCTGCTGGCTTGTATTCGCTTGCCGAACTGCTACCCAGCATGACTGGTGCTTGTGTTCCCCGGTCACTCCCCACCCAATGCCTCGTGTTTGACAGGGCTCAGTTTCGGAACACAGGAGGTGCCCGCTGAATAGTTTGGGGATGAGGAAACTGCATGAGCAGCCAGCTTTACTAAAAAAGCAATTCAGATGCTCTGCTGTTTGCTGAGCTGGCAGAGAAGTACCAGACCTGGTACTTCTGGTACTTTATTGCCAGGGAACTGGCAATAAAAAGCTGGCGAGCTGAGCTCACAGCCCTTGAGCCAGAAGCAATGGCTTTATCCTGAGTTTGACCTGAAAAACCCAACCCTTCAGCTCCCAGGAGTGGCCAGAGCCATGGAAATCAAGAGCCTGAAGTCAGCTGTACAGGACAGGGTCAGGTGTCTGTACTCCGTGCAGCAACCAGTGTCACAGCAGTGCCTAGTGGGGAAATCAATGTCCAGGGTCCAGCCATGAGGCCAGGTTGTACTGGAGGGGACAGGTCTCCGACTGTCCATGCAGCAATGCTACCTCCAGTCAGTAGCCAGCTAGCCCAGGGCAGGGGTCCTCCTTGAGAACCCAGAGTGCCTGGCACCCGAGTTCTCGCAGGCACAGGCAAGGCTTGGTAGTCCCAAACCCAGGATATCTTTGTGCTCCAAATCATGGGGTGAGGGGCGCCACACAGCCCTGCAGGCCTGGACCGACTCTTCCATGTCCACAGGGCCAGGCTGCTGCTCTGCCAAGATACCCTGCACTACCTTCCTCCACCTGCCCTGGACAGGAAAGCTGTCCTAGCTGCAAGGCATGGGGGCATAAAGCTGTATGGTTTGGGGGCAACAGAGGGCAGGGAGTGGGGCCATCTGAAGCTGGGAACAGAACCAAGAACTTTGGTGCTGCAAGGGGCTCTGACTGCTGACTGCCTTGCTTTGTGCAGCTCATGTGGAGCAAGGCCTGCTGTCTAACAAGGCCACCCGCCAGCACCACTGGCAGCTTGCGGACCTTTCTCAGGATGTGACCTCCCACATCTGATCCTGAGGATCAGACCTACTGCAGAGTCTGTTGATACAGAGCCCAGGTGGCAGCTGGACATGAAGGCCACAGGGCCCCCAAGGAGCGGCTAGATTGTGCTGTCTCATCTGCACCTAGCACGAGGGCTCGAGTGTCAAGGACAGCTGAGGTTTAGACGTGTTGAAACGGTCATGGATTGGAGCTCAATAGGGGGGATTCCAGCAGAGTCCTAGACTGGAACCTTGCAGAACTGGCCCGAGGTTACAGCTTCCTAAGAGAAACAATGCCCAGAAGAAGGGAACAGTGGAACCCCAGCCACAGACAGCACATTCTGTCCACAGGCTCACAACAGCCTGCAAAATAGACACACACTGCGGTCCCAAGTTCAGCCTCTCCATTTCCTCCGCCGGTGAGCTTGGCCACACACACCCTGGGGGTGAGTGGGCCTCCTCACATTGGCCCTATTGCCTGCCCTTGGGAACCAAGAGGCAATTCAGTCTTGGGTACAAGCTCCAAACACAAGGCCTTGGGGAGGAGAGGCTGCAGTGGGGTAAGAAGGTTGTGCAGTGGATGGAACCCCCAGGATCAGGCCCATGGAGCGGCCACTGGCGCCGGCTGGTGGCCTTGCTGGATGGCAGGCACCGCTCCACACGGCTTCCCAGAGCCGTCTGCTCACTACTGTCCCACGTGCAGCCTCTCTGGCTCCCTAGAACTTCTTGCTCCCCAGGGTGTCAGCTTGCAGTGCTGTCAGCATCAGAACCTCTGGGTCTCTCGCAGGAAGCAGCACCTCACGCTCTGGCAGGAATGCTGGGGACAGGGCAGACTGGTCTGCAGATGTGGGGCAGCCTGTGTGACATCGACCTGACCGTCCCTCATGTGGGAGGGTCCCTCATGTGGGAGGGAAGGTCTGCAGAGGGGAAGGGGCACTCTTTCCACACGAGTCTTGGCTGAGCAGTTACCCGCCCCATGTTCCCACTGGCCTTTTGCCTCAGCTCACACGGTATAGAAGGAACAGACTCCTCCCCTTCTGTCTCCCCCACAAAAAGGCTGCCTGGGAGACCGGGGCACAGATGCACACAGGTACTGTAGTTCCCTTGAGTTCAAGGGTCATAAGGCTCAATGCCCACCACACGTGCACGTGTGCACACACAGGTATGTACACACACTGTCTCAGACTGAGCATGAAAAAGAAATCACTAGCAAGTGCCTGGATGAGTTGGGCAGACTTCGCCATGTCTGGGTGTCAGGACTAGCTTAGTTACAGACGTGTGGCTAGTACAGCCACGCACTCTGGGGCTCCGAGGAGGCCAAGCTACTGTGGAGGAACCCAAACCAGAGGCACAGCTCAGCTCCTGTCAGGGACCCCAGGCGACCCATGGCTACCTGCCTGCCACCTGCCTGCCACACCCTCTCCCATCTCACCAGTCACCCAAAGCGGGGGCAGGTGGGAAGGGAAGGGAGCTGGAGGCTGGGGCACAGGGAGGGGCTCGCACAGGCTGGGCGCCTCCCAGGGGAAGGGTCGCTGAGCAGCCTTGTGTCACTGTGAAGGCCTTCCTCTGTAGTCAGCAGAGCATATGTACAGGGCTGGTCTGGGCACCACAACCTGACTGTGAAAGGGAAGTAGGAGCCAGGGGTGCAGGGGAGCTCCTAAAGCCAGGTCTGCTCCCTGGGCAGGGACCCTGCGGCTCAGGTAGGCAGGGCAGAAGAGGACTTCCGGTCTGACCACCTTTAAGCATCACTCTGCAGGGCTGGAGGGGCGGGCGGGTGGCCTGCCTGGGACAAGGTAGCCAACAAAGGACACAGTAAGGTGCACGACAGGTCAGTCTCAGGGCTTCCAGCCTGGCCCTGCAGGTCCTGCACAAAAGTGGGGGTACCAGGTACAGAGCCAAACCATGTCACCAGGGGCTCCCAGTGTGGGCCCGGAGCCTAGTCCTGACCCTTCTTAATGCCTCCACCTGGCAGGGCAGGGCCAAGGAACCACAGTGGCTGCATTTTGTTGAAAACTATCATGTTTCATTAAAAACTGGCTCTAAGCATGAAGAACGTATCCAGGAAACACATCCCAACATCCTTTGCTCCACAAAACATGATTCATTCATGGCGAGGTTCCCGAGGCCACATGGTGCCCAGCCCCGTGTACCCAGGCCAGGTCTGAGGTGCTGCCCTGCGCTGGTAAAAGGCCACTGAGAAAAGCTACACCTGAGGGTGGGAAGGCCCTAGAGCACCATGTCCACGAGAGGAGGAAGCCAAACTCAGGGGACATGGCAGCCCGTGCTGCTGAGGGCTGTGCTGCGGGGCACTGGCTCTGTGCCCAGAAGGCCACTGGGAAAGGAAGTGGAGGGAAGACCTGGGCTTGCAGGTCTCCCTCCTCCTGGGGCAGGGCTGGGCCTAACTTCCTCCTCAGAACGGGGCCCAGAGGCGGCTCGGGACACCCCAGACAGCCTGGCTCTCCCACTTGGGGTCCCTCTCCAGCCACAGCAGCCAGGCTGCGCAGTCCCCACAGCAGCCCAGCCAGTGGGCAGGAGGTGTCATTTTCTCATAGGACACCACCACGGGGCCACTCACAGCTCACCCCAGGCACCTGGTGAGCAAGGGACCTCCCTTCTCCCCGCCACACCCAGCTGCACCGAGACAGCACGGCTTCAATTCCTATGGTCACCTCCACTCTTCTGGGGGTTCCAGTTGAGCCCACAGCCCACGATAAAAGGGAATGGCATGGTCCAGGGCCTGGGTGTCCCTGTGTGCCCGGGAATGGAGGTACTAGCTGAACAGGGCAGGCGCCTGCCACCTACTCCCACACAGGCCTCCACAGGAGAGGGTACAGCAGAGGTCAGCGTCAAGTGGGCATCAGAAGAGGCTGGGGGAGGCCTGGACAGGTGCATCATGGTCCCGGATGTACTGTAGGATGTCCATCTCGTCCATTGCTTGGATCTGCTGCTGCTGCTTCTGCTGTGTGACCTCGGCTTCTGACAGGCCTGATCTGGAGGGCACAGCTGGTTTCCTGGGCAGTGCTGGCTTCTCTGCCATGGGTGGCTTGGGCTTAGGCTTGGGCTTAGGCTGGGGCTTGGGTTTGGGCTCAGCCCCTAGGTTCAGAATCTGGTCCAAGTCCTCCTCAACTCTATGCAAACAAAGAGAACATCTGTGAATATGAGCAACCCCCACAAAAGCAGCAAGATCCCAAGCAGGGTCACTCCCCATACGGCACCGCTGCAGGTTGGGCCATCGCTCCCCTACCCCTCCCAGCCTGGAGAATCAGAAGGGCAGGGCTTACTGCTCCTGCACCTCCACAGCACACTGGGCCCTGGGAGGCCTCCTGAGAGCTGCTCCTCAGGAGGCCTCACCTGAACCCCAGGCTTTGACAGGATGCTCCTTCCAGCCTCTGTGGGAACAAGTGCCTGCTGCCCTGTTCCAAGGTCCAGCTCCACACCAGACACATTATCTTATCTGCAAACACCACTCCAGTAGGTGCGTCCCTGCTCCGACCCTGCAGAGGGGCAGTGGAGGCCCGGGAGGCAGAGTGGCTTGCAGAGATGCCTGCACAGCAGCACCTGCTGGCACCTGGATGTCTGACCCAGGAGGCCGAGCACACAGCCTGACCAAGTTCACCTGGAGAAAGAGTAAGCGGGGTGCTGGTGCTGGTGGTGCTCTGAGTGGTCCTGGGTGGGGTCTGCCTTCCCCTCTGGGGCCACAAAGCCCTTGAGACTAGAGTGGCCTCAGCTGGGGCCCGCAATGCTCACTCATGGCCTGGAACTCTGATTGCCCACTGGCAGGCGGGGTTGGTACTGCACAGCTATGTGCAGGGGCACTGGCTTTGCTCACCAGGCGGCCGCAGGCCACCCCTCCCTGGGCCTCAGTCTCACCATCTGCACAAGGATGTTCTTACCCTGCCAGCCTCATGGGATTCTTGTAAGGACTGAGTAAAACAGCGAATGGAAAGTGCTCTCGAGCCTAAGGGAATACCACCCAGGCTGGGTGCTAGGAGCGGGACAGAGCGACAGAAGAACAGAGCAGCAGCTGCCTCCATCCTCAGCTGGCCTGATGGGAGGCTCGCTCTGGCTAGGGTCAGAGCGGGCATCCCCAGGGCTGGAGAAGGCATGGGCAGGGCAGGCTGGAAAGGTTTCCTAGGAAAGGGAGAAGCAGGGCAGGCCTGGGGTGGGTGGGGGAGGGAGCAGGAAGGGGGTCAGGAGCAGAGAGAAAAGGTCTGGGAATGGGAGCTAAAGGAGGAGCCTGGTCATCTGAGGGTGGGTCCAGTTCTGATGCCAGCCGGGAGTGGAGGGCAGAGTGGACAGGAGGACCATGCTCAAGCACTTGGCAAGGGCCTGTGGGGATGTGATGGTGCCGCACAGCATCGCCTCAGGGCTGCTGCCAGGACCGGCTGCTAACCACACCAGCCACCCTGCCTGCTTCCCGGGGGAGCTCCTGCCATGTGGCTTGGGTCCCCAGGAGAGAACTGAGAGCTTGCTGGATGGCAGAGAAGTGAATGAAGGTACCCTTCCCATCCAGACCCAGAGGCCCTGGCCTGAGCCAGTCTCCAGAGACAGGGGTGGCCTTGGTGTTACTCATGGACAGGGCTCCACTGCGCCTGGCTCCCTGCATGCAGTGGCGCTTCCAAGAATCACTTGGGTCTGCTGCTGGCTCCCTGTGCATCCTCCAGAGGGCTGAGTAAGGTGGCCCTGGAAAAGCTCCAAGGGCCAGAATTATGCTCAAATAGGGCCCTTAGGAAAATAAAGCAGCAGCTAAAAACCTGCGCCTGACTTCAGCTTCCATCGCGTGGCAATGCAGGGACCCTGCAGCAGGCAGCAGCTGGGCAGGAGAGGTGCAGTGGGTGGTGGCCACGGCGGAGGTGCAGTGGACAAGGTGCGGCTTGTGCAAGGACAGAGGTGGCTGCACCAGCCCCCGCTTCCCACACTCCCTGCCTTTACATGGGTTTCCGAGTCACAGCTAGGACAGGTCTCTGCCCATGAATCTAACTCCCTAGTCTTCTAGGCCTGCTGGTGTGAGGTCTACCTGAAGCCCCATCCCACTCCTACCTCCCGCTCAGCTGGGGAGTGGAGGGGACAGATGCTTCTCAGCTGCCAGCCTGGTTCCAGTGCCACCTTGCCCCACTTGCTTCAGGATGGCTGACGGATGGAGGGGTGAAGGTATGAATGGATGAACGACTCTGAATGCTTCCTATGCTGAGGAAGCCCAGTGAGTGCTGCACAGCTGCAGGGAGACACAGAGAAGAATAAAGTATGGTTCCTGCTCTCAGGAAGCTGAGTCTTTATTCCCAGATGCCTGCTCATGAGCATGCAGGGTTCGTTAAGCAGTGACTCCCTGGGTGCTCCATAGGGTGCTAGGAGGCATTCAGAAGAGGGGTCCAGGGACTAGTAAGAGCATGAAATGCCGCTGCATGGCCTGGGCCTGCATGTGACAGGTCTGCTTACCACACGCACTTCCCCAACCTGCCTGGCCACAGAACCTGCTAGAGGGAGCCTTGCAACCCCCACTGAACCATACACTGTGCACTTGGATTGGTAAGTAATGGGCTGAGAATCAAGGATGCCCGAGGCCCAAAGAGCTGTTCCACTAGACACGCACAGCCTGGCCCTGCAGCTCCCCAGGGCTGACCCTAGTATCGGCCTCTCTGTGCCTCGGTTTCTGCCCTAAGGAAAGGATCATAGTCAGGGAGACTACAGGATAAGGAGGAACAGATGCCAGGGGCCTTGGGGAGATGTAAATACAAGAAGCCATCACTGTGACTCAGGCTTGACGGGCACTTAAGAGGACTGTCTAACAGCCTGGGGCTGCTAACGAGAGGTGCGACGACAGCCTCCTGGGGCCACACAAACTGTTCCTGGAACGGGCAGGGCAGTCAGCTTCCTGTAAACCACCAAGCACACCCTGCATCCTGGGGGCAGGAACCCCGCCTGGCTCACCAGGGCAGAGGTCCAGGGAGAGCCTACCGCCCTGGGGCAGGGAAGCAGATTTCCTGGGGGTGGAGAGGCCAGGATAGAGGAAGGCAGGGGCTGCTGCATGCAGAAAGGACCTCTCCCTCCTTCAGTTTTCTGTAAAGGGAACAGCCTCTGCCTCGGAGATGGCAGTGAAAAGTCAGTAGGGTAACAGAGAGAGAGTCTCCTATGCTGCTGGACACCCAGCACTTCTACACAAGTTCTATGCTGACCTGGTGGGACTGGCTCTCCCTTCCCCAGGAGGGGATGCTCCTGGCACACAGGCCACTGTCTGTCATGTCAGAGCTCTGCTCCCTCTGCCTGGGCAGCATGCTACCTATTGTTAGTTTTATTTGCTCCCAAACCTGTGTATGCCGGTTATACTTGCTCTTGAATTTTGTCATGTAATTGTTATCCTTTGCAGAAACTATTAAACTACATGCATGAAGCTGTCACCATGGAACCCACCGAGTTGCCTTGGCTACATCCCTTCCTCCCAAACCCCCGTCACTATTCCTTGGCCACCCGCTGCCACAGGCCTTGACCTCGCCAAGGGCCTTCGCCAGTGACGCTGGGATGGCCCAGAGCTCAGGAAAGCCCTGCCGGAAACAGTGGTACCTGAAGAGTTGGTCAGAGGTCTCCTTGCGACCCAGGCTGGAAGTGAACCCTCCATGCTCACAGGTGGTTGGCAACAGCAAGGGGTCACCCAGGGCAACGGGCCCACCGAGGTCAGGGTCATCAAACAGCTTCAGGGCTGTGGGGAGGGAGGAACATGGTGGGCTGAGAAGTCCTGACTATGCTCTGCTGTCACGGTGCCAGGCACAGTTGCCTGGCTATACCTCCTGGTGCACCTAGAGATGGGCCCCGGTGGGGGCAGAGGAGAACCTGGGGCACCCGCTGGCCTCTGCCTGGCTCCACTTTCTAGTTCTCATGGGCTTCTTGCTGCTTTAAAGCCAGAAGGCCTCTGTGCTCAATGACCTGGGCCCCAGGCCTGTGCGGCCAGATGCCTCAGCTCACCCCACTGCCATACCACTCTCAAGTGCCCAGGTACCAAGTGCTGCCCACCAGTGGGCACAGGGGCGGTAGACACCACGTCACGGCAGCCCTCACCTGCAGGTCTCCCTCTCCTCTCCCACCCGAACTCCTTGTGGACGTCCTTTGGGAGCATGCGCCGTGGCCTCCCCCGGGCAGCCTTTCCTCTATAGGCCTGGCCTGCTGCAGAACTTTCAGGACTCAGCCCAGACACAGCGCCAGCCCCGGCAGTCCCACCCCCGACATCGTCCCTGCCAGCCCACGGGAGGCAGCATTGCTGCTCGGCCCTGCTACAGACTCGTGCTGCTCTGTGGTCGTCGGGTGCTGTCCTGTCTCTCCACAGGTCCTGCTCGCCTGGCCACGTGGTGGGTGCTCATCAAGTGCTGGCTCATCAACTCCCTCCCCTGGAGAAGACTCGGGGCAAGTGTGAAGAAAGGACAGACCCAGGGATGGGGGACAGTCCTAAGGCTGCCAGCTCTGCACGGAGCCCTCCAGTGCAGTCTGTGTGGGCAACACAAAATATTAACCTTAAAATCACAAGGAGCTGGATGCATGCTCGAGGTGGGCCAGTGCTCCTTTTGTGCTGAAATGGTGCCTGGAGCTCCGGGCCCACATCTGTAATGAAGAAAACTGTCTCCCTCCTCCACAGGATGCTTAGAGTAAACATGCAGCCTCAGAACGTTTCCGGCTGTAGGGACATCGGGGCCGCGGCTGGCTTTCTCCAGCCTCTGAATCTGTATCCCAAATGAATAGCATGGGGACCTGCAGCACTGAGCAGGCACCGAGGCAAAGGCACTCACTGTGGGGCTTTACTTACAGTCCATGGGGGGCACGCCCTTGGAAGGGCTCTTCGGGGATAGCCTCCTGCCTGGGCCAAAGAGCTTTCCATCAAGGTCCTCCTCCTCATCAAAGATGGTAAGCCGGGGCAAGGGCTTGGCCTTCACAGCTACCTCAGGGCGTTTCTTGGGCTTCTTGGAGCTGGAGATAAAACACAAACACATGAGGTGAAGATCTCCCTCAAAAGGCCAGCTGACCCACTGGGCACAGGCAGGTGCTAGGCCTATCCGAGGCCTCCGTACACCCGGGCCAGAGAGGACAAGACCAGAAGAGGGCCACACAGAGGCCTGGAGCAGCCCAGTAGCACAGTCTCGGCAGGAGGGCAACTTAAGCAGCCTCACATGTCCAGCAGACGCATCTTCCTGCCTCAGGGGAGACAGGCAGGCCAGTGAGAGAATGAGGAAGGTCTGAGCTGGGGCCAACGTGCAGCTTTCCCAGATCTGACAACAGAATGGGGAACCCCTGCCACTGAAGTAGCCAAGCACTGTGCTTGCGGGGAACGACCAGTGTTGAAGACAGGGAGAAGCAAGCAGCCATCTGGACTTGACCCTGAAGGCCAGACAGCTCCCAGCCCTCCAGGCCCAGGCAGGCCTTGGCTGCTGCTACACACTCATGGGGCCAGAGAACATGCTCTCCTTCCAAAGGCAGAGAAGCCCACAGGCCTGTGCACTTGGGGGCCAGTCTCAGAGAGCCAACTCCACAGCCACACATGCTGTGACCACAGTCTGAGGGCTGGAGGTGGGGATGGGGCGGGGGGAGCAGAAAGCAGCCAGTAAAGACTCTTTCCCCAAGTGTCACGCCCTTGCATGGTGTCCTCAGGGCAACCTGTTCCTTCTGGAAGCCCTTCTGGGACTCAGGATCCCACCTGGCTCTGCTACCATTAGGTCCTGTTACTTCTGTGCAGGCAGGTAGAGAAGGTCCCGCCCAGGGCCAGCCTGCAGCAGGATCGAGGAGGGGTGCCTGGTTCATCTCTCCATCAGGGGGACGTGCAACCCAGACGCTCAGATCTGTGCCCGTCACTGTAAGCGATAGCCACCCTAACCAAACAAACTGGTTTCATTTTGACAAGCTGACCTATTCCCTGTAGCTGCTGCCCGTATTAGCCTTTTTAGGTTACTGCAGATGATGGGAATATGCTTCCCCCTGGAAACTGGAATTGCATGGGTCTGTCTGCCTGGCAGGATGTCCCACTGGTCACTATTCAACCTTACGTGGGTGACACTGGAAAAACTGTGCAGAGAAGCTGGTATTGCCCTAAAATGCGACAAGGCTGACCAGCAGCAGATAAAAATATAGGACCCTGGGCACTTAGGGACAGGGTGTGCCAAGGCCACCATTCCTACGGTCTTGTGCCAGATGTGAGGGAGAAGTCCCGCCTGGCCTGCAGCTGCAGTAGGGAGAAGAGGGGTGGGAGGCCACGGGACAGAGCAGCACGCAGGTGCTCGGGAGCCAAGTCCTGGCAGGGAGTCTCATGGGGCTGGGCTTGCGTGATAACCCAGGAGCTGCTGGCCCAGAGAAGATGAGCGTCTGCCAGAGGCTTAAGGCAAGAGGGGGTGACAGGGACTGGAGTGAGCGTGGTTGCTGCTCAGGGTCCTCTGCTCCCGCCCCTCTGCCTGTCCCCTGGTATGGGAGAACGTGAGGATCACAGAGCGGCCCTGCAGCCCTCTGGGGAGAAAGCAGCATGTTCCAAAGGCGTTGACAGCGGCAGAGACCCAGCTGCAGGGTCAGGAAGCCCCGTCTTAGTCCCTTCACTTTCCGCATGGGGGTCAGGCCAGCAGGGCCACACTCCCACCCTGTGCTGTCCTCAGGGCCAGCCTGTGGCTGGTACTAAGAATGCAGAGAGCCTGGACTCTCCATCCTGCAGCAAGTCTTTCCAGAGAATTCAGCCTCACTCCTTCTACACCCTGCGGCTGGGCTCAGCTATTCTTACCTGCACAGTTCCCCTTCTCTCTGGGCCATGGCAGAGCCACTCGGCCCTCATGACCCCTGTAAATGGACACCAAGAGAGGCCACAGCCCCAGGAGAGATGGCCCCAGCCAAGATCCCCTGGGCCAAAACCCCAGGTAGCCCCGGGGTCCGACTTTGTCTCTCCTGTGGAAGGTAGTGGATGGTCACGTCCGGAAGCCTCTGGATCAGCTGGCAGCTCAGTCTCTGCCCGCCACCATTCTGTCCCTCACCCACGGTAGCCACCCCGCAGCTAGCCCCTTGCCCCTGCATCCAGTAGGAACTGCAGCCGCGAAGAGGGGAGAAGCCCACCCAGTCCTGCTTCCACAGCTGGCAGGGCAGCTCTAGGATGACAGCCGGAAGCTGCCCTCTGCCTCCACACTCGCCACTCCCCTACTTAGGACAAGGAGGTTCCTCGGATCTCTACTTGCCTCCTATCAGCCAGCGGCCCCATGGGATGGGGGGGTCCCAATGACCCCTTTAGAAGGAGCACAGAGAGGGTGAGCGCTGAAGAAAAGGGAAGCACCAGAGAATAACTAAGCATTTGTGCAAGAGCTGTGCGGGATTTCAGCAATTCTCCCTCACGCTTCCTTCTGGCCTTAACACAAAGGGTGTCCAATGCTCCTTCCAGGAGAGGATGCTCCTCTCCAAGCTGCACTGATGGCCTTGCCTTTTCTCTGGAGATGTTTGCCATACTTTGCTGAACTGAGAGGTGAGTATGCAGCCCACAGGCTGCTCAGTTCAGCGACGTCTTACCCCAACTCCCACCCCACCTGGGCTGTCCTGCCCCTACCTTTACCCCTCCGAGGGCAGATAAAGGACCCCAGGAAAGGGTCCTGTCTGGCCCTAAAACTTCAGGCCGTGAGGAGAGAGGGAGTCCCAGCACCAGCGTTCCTTTGCTCCTCCTCCAAAGATCTCTCAGCCATCAGGCCATCCTTCGGGCAGCCATTTGCTCCCTCACAGGCTGTGTGGGACCAGCACTCATGAGCATCTCCCATACACAGGCACCTGGGCCGGGCAATACCAGCGGGCATAGCTTAGACCTGCCACTGTCCCCAGAAGCTCAGAGCCAAGCACAGTCAGACACACATACCAGTCACCACTATACAAGATGTCTAGGCCCAGGGGTAGGAGCCAGCCAGCCTGAGGGCTTGGAGAGTTTCCTAGAGGTGGGCAGGGAACTCAGGGCTGCAGGAGGAGGAGGAGCCCAGGCAGACCAAGGCCCTCTAGACGTCTGCAGGAGCCTGTACAGGTTTGACTAGGAACCTGATGCCTGTGGGTGACAAGGATCCCTCAGGTTTGGGGCAGGCACAGCCCTGCCAGGAGAGGGGCAGGGCAGGGAGCCATTTCCTCAGGCACTCGCTGGAGACTGGCCAGGCCTGGCCTGGGGGCGCAGTCGTGTGAGGGGCAAGCAGGCCAGGAAAACTTCAGGGCATGAACGTGTGTAGGCAGGCACCGTGTGCAGGGCACTGTCCACGATGCTGCTGGGTCTTGGGCCACACTGACCCTTTCCTCCCCTTCCCCCACAGCACTCGCTCTTCCTTCTCCTCCATGGCTATGTCAGGCAGCTCGGCTCTGTGATGCCATTACCAACGTGCTCCCAGCACCAACAGGAGACAAGTTCCACCACGCTACGGCGACAGAGGCCTCTTCCCCGGAAATGGTTAGAACTGAGTCACCAAGGATGGGTGTGAGCATCATGCCGAGAGGTCCCCAGTGTATAGAACTACAGTGCCTGGCCCGTGTGAGCACGCTGGTGCTGCACAGACACCGGGCTCCTGCTGTGGGCCTGACAGGAGACAGATGCACAGACCCCGCCACATTCTGCAGGCGGCGGCGCAGCACATGTGGGCGAGAGGCGGCAGCTGCCAAGGATGACAGCTCCCCAGCTCTGACCAGCCAAGAAGCATGCGGCTCCCTGCAGCTCAGCCACTTGTGGTGACAGTGATTGACACATAAGAGCATCCTCCCTCTGACCACCCAGGGCCTGTGGCGGTGTTCCAGATCCACCCGCCTCGCTGGTCCCGTTACGGGGCCCAGCAATGTGGATACCAGCACCCAGCGGAGGAGTGTGCAGGCCTGGCAGAGTCATCTCCCAGACAGATCCAGCTTGACTGGGTCCGAACAGGAGGCAGCAGGTCCTTCCACAGCCAAGACACACAGACTGTGACCTGCAAAGCTCGGTTGACGTTTAACCAAATAGGGACATCAACCTTTGTTCCTCTGATGTAGCTTTCCTGCTTTGAAATAAAGCACTTTTCATTATTTTCACCTTAAATTCAACTGTTTGTTTTTCCAATTAGAGTTTCTGCGTGTAGGTAAGTGAACCGCAGAGGCACCCCAGGACAGCGGCTTGCAGCGGTGCCTATGAGGGGCTTCCCTGCAGAGCAGGAGGGAAGGAGCCTGAGAAGGACCAGACAGGAGGAGGAATGGAGGCAAGAAACCTGCGCTCCAGGCAGATGACGGCCCTGTGTAAGTGCCATGGGGCCCAACGTGGCATGGTGCTGGGCTGCACAGCTGGGTGGCAGGTACCTGGATGTGAGGGAAGCTGGCATGTCCTGTGGGCTCAGGGCTTCTGGCTTTGCCAAGGGCCCAGCAGCAGAGGAGAATGCAAGAGGACCCACATATGACCAGGCCCCTCCCTACTGGTGAGTGGGTACAGAGGCTGCTCACACAGAGCCATGGTGAAGCCCGGGGGCACGTGAGCGTGGGGCAGGGGCACGGCTCAGGCCACTGTGTTGAGTGCTGAGTGCTGAGGCTCACACACACCAGGCTCACATACACCTCCACCTCAGCAGGCTTCAGGATCGCCTCAACAAGGAAAGGGCCCAGGGCTGGGGATACAACGCCTGCCTGGAAGCTCAAGGTCCTGAGTTTGATTTCTGGTACCCCCCCAAAAAAGGGAAGGAACCATGTGGGGAGCTGCCTTGGCTCCAGAGATGCCTGCCACTGCTTCAGTGCCAGTTTCATCCTCTTAACGGCCAGCCTGGCTCTCCGGGTCCTCCAAGCCTGAGTCTTACCCTGGGGACCAGGACTCCAGCAGGGGCCAGAATCTTCTCATGCACCACCCACGACTGGAAACCCGGCTGTCTCACCCGCAGGGCTGTGAGCCCCTGTCCTGCTCACACCCACATTGCCTGGGGACTCAGTATGCAAAGGGACAAGGGCCAGGCCACACGTAAGGTAGGACTCTGAGCCACAGCCCGTGGCAAGCAGCTCAGAAGCCCAAACCAGTCCTGCAGCGGTCAGCCCCAAACGCCCAAGGTTGGATCCGGATCGGCCAGTTTCCCAGTCACCTCCATTTCCAGCGCAGTAAGGCTGGCCAGGAAGGCCAAGCAAGTCCCCCACCTGACCATTTGGCGTGCAGCACCTCCCACTGTTCGTTCCCCACACCAGCAGCCTCCAGCGCACACACCAAGCCTTCCCTTCTGCCCACTGTGAAGCTTCCCACAGCCCTGCTGCCCAGTCCCTGCACATGCAGGGCATGGTGGCCGATGCCTCCCCGGCTGTGGCAAGCTCAGGACAAACTGCCTTTGCTTGTTCTTATCTGGGCGGTCTTTACTTATACCTCTGCCAACACCCCACCACACTCCAATGCTGCATTACTGGGGAAGCCGGCCCAGCTCCTGGCCATCCTCACTCAGGGTGCCTACCACCCAAGTTGCCAAAGAGGACAGCACAGACATGAGGGCTGGGAATCCACATCTGGCACAGGGAGGAGTCTCGGGACGAAGGGAAGTCACGGCCAGCAGTCAGAAGACACCCCGCTGCTGCTGCTCCTGTGGACCTTTGGGAGGCTCCTTGGTGGTAACAACGATAGGCTGTTGGACCTCACAGATTAAGGACTTTGTCATGCTGTGGATGTGGGACCACCTCAGGCAAGAGAATGGTGGTCTCCCAAGATGCCATCCCCCAAGCAACCCGACCACCATTAATCCTGTCCAGGGCTCAGCTCAGTGGGACCATTCTTCCCAGCGACAGAGGCTAAGCAGGTGACCACACCTCTAGGCTTACAGGAGCACCTGGCAGGAGGCGGGACCCACAAGTGTGGTATCTGCACAGCACAGGATATAGAAAAGCTGCCTCCACACTTCAACTGCTGTGAGGACACACAGACTGCATTAGAAATAGTGATAACCTTTAACCAAGAACTTTCATCCTTTAACTCCAGGACCTGGACTTCACACCTACGCTACAAGGGAAGAAACTTTACTCCAGAGACAGTTCTGACAAGCTCGCAACGCCTCCACCTGGCTGGGCTTTCAACTTCTAGCCTGCTCTAAGGTACCACACATCCTGGGGTCTCCAAAGGAGCTCCGCAGGGCCCTGACCTCCTGGAAGGCTGCCTGGGGGAGGGGGCTGAAGCCGGAGCATGCCGGTTCCTGTCTCTAACCAGGCAACTGTGCTTTGGTCTGTTTTACACACGAGAGTTCTGGACAAGATTTCTCTTGAGCCAAATACTTTGCTACTTAAGTCAAGAATTGGAAAGCACTGTTGCATCTGCGTTCCCTGGGAACCCCTTCACTCCGGACAGCCCGAGCAGTGCTTGGACAGGACACAGGTGGGGGTGCATGCTGCGGACAGTGACTCCCGTAGCTGGCCCCAGCACACAGTCTGGGATGGCTGCATTGCTCACCTCCTGCACTCCTCACTGCTTTGGGGCCAGACTGGGGCTAGGTCAGGCCTTGCTGGGCCTCCACCATTGTAACTGACAACCAGGGATCTCCTGCAGCGAAGGGAAATCCTGAGAAGGGGAGGAGGAGGTGAGGGAGCAGAGTTAAGGAGGGGCTGCCTTGCACATCCCCGCTCCTTGGCACGCTGGGGTGACCGGCAACTGCCAGACTTCCAACAGAGCCTGCTTTCTGGGCTTCTCCAGCATGAGGTTGCAGACTGACCTCAGGGCTTACTGAGATGGGCTGGGGCTCCACTCAGCTCGGAGGGGCCTAGAATCTGCATCTCGCCTGGTGCAAGGCTGATGCAGAGCCCCTAGCTGCTTTCTGCTGCTCTGGTGGCATCCAGGAAGACTGGAGCGCCTGGGCTCCACACCTCCACACCCTGCAGTGAAGCCAAGGATTCTGCCAGTGGCACCCATGGGAGGCAGCTCGAGGGCCCTGCGGGGCATGGCTGTGGCTGTGCTGTCCTCAGAGCGCCCAGTGGCCTACCCTGGCGGATGCTAGATCCTAAATGCTGGGTGAGCAAATGTGGGGACCGCCAGTGTGCCGGGGACATGTGAAACCACAGGACTACCTCAGAGGGAAGTGCTGACAAATATGGTAAGTACAGTGTTACTTTTACACTGAAACAGTTACTTTACAGGAAATGAAGCAAATCCATATAAGGTGTTGTGATGTAAACAACATCGAGCTTCCCTGCTTGAGGGTACTCCACAGCACAGGACATCCCCGAGAGTCCTGCATGTCTGACAGACAGGCAGGCAGGCCTGTACCAGAGCCCCCTGGAGCTGGGCCAGCAGGACAGCTGAGTCCTGGGACCTGGGACCTGGAGGGCAGGGCACCCTCTGTGACTGCAAAGCAGGCTGGTAGAGGTGGGAGAACTGCCTTGCAGGGAAAAGGTTTCGAGAAGCAGGGTGGCCCACAGTAGAGTGACTTAGCTCTCAAAGGCCCCATGCCCTGGATCCCAGGAGTAGCTCCGAGGACCTTGCTCTAAGGTTAAGCTCAGGCGAATGACAGCTCTGTACACATAAAACTTCCTCAAGTTATTGCCTTTCATGGCAAAAGCCCTGGAAGACACTGTAATGCCCGCAAACAGGGACGCTGCTCCTTACAGTGCTCCTTACCTGAGGGAGCAGCAGAGTGCACCTGGCGAAGTGGCCTTACTGACCAGGAAAGACGGAAGATAGCGGCTAGATAGCCACGTCCCATGGGGCCTTAGACACGGGCCTTTCGAAGTGCCCACATCCACAGGGAAAGGACTTTCTGCTGTGACACCAATCTTCCTCTACTGGCTGTACATGATTTGAATCTCCCTGAAACTGTAACAGTATTTCCAGCAGGTGGGAAATCATGGTAGAAATTCAATGTTCTCAGAACCACAGAGACACTAAAACAGTGTTACATATGAAAACTGCGTACAACATGGCGAGGGCGCATGAGAAGGACAGGCACACACGCTGTGTCTGCAGTTGTGTGGGTCGAGCTGGAACAGCGTCAAGAAGAAACCCCACCAGATAAGGGAGCCAGCGGCAGGGGCTTCTCTGGTCTTTCCGTATTCTCTTATGGTATAATCATGCCCTCCCCTCAGGCAGGTTGAAAAGACAAAGAAAAGCCAGGCCAGTAGGGCTCCAGCTTTGCACGAGCAACGCCACCCTCCAGGGCAGCCCGGCAGTGGAGCCACAGTGCCCCCGCGTGGCCGCGGCAGGGGAGGACCGTGGCCACCATGGCTGCTTCCGGAAGGCCTGAGCTTGGGGGTGGTGCGGGCAGAGCTGGGCGGCCGGGGCTGCTCCATCTGCTCCATGTGCAGGGGCACATGGCGGACAGAGATGTGTGCAAATCATCAGTTTCCTGTGAAGAACAGAGTGTCCACAGGGCTACCCAGGGCCACAGGGCCCCATCGCTGCCCTCGATGTCAACATCTGTGAACAGGGGACAATCCTAGGACCCTGACCACCACCCACACTATCAAAAAACTACACTATGGGTGACCTCAAGTCCTGGTTCGGCCTGTGGGCTGCATGAACGTGAACACACAACCTGACTCTCAACTTCAGTTCCTGAAGTTCACAGAAAACAGAGCTGATGTCAGCACGGCCTTCTACAGCACTGGGTCTCGCACTGTGCCCACACAGATCCTGAAAGCCATTTCCTGCATTGTGACCTCTTCACAAAGTCAGGGAGAACCGGAACTATCAGAGTATAACACACTCAGTTAAGGTTTGTGTGAGTTCTTGAAAGCTTCTGTCTCCGTTTTACATGCAGTGTGTCCACATGCAAGCCCTGGTCATGACACACAATATTATTTTTACTCTGAGACATAGCAACAAAGTTTCAGAAAAGCAATCTCAAGAGTAGATGGAGCTAAGGCAAGCAAATGCTAACTAGCTCAGTTCTTGGCATTTAACAAGCTCTCAAAATGCTACTTATTATTCCCGACAAAGGTGATAATACAAGACTCCTGGCAGTGGGGAGCTTTCCTGCAGTCAGAGCCAAACCCCCTGCAGTACAGAGCTGGGGCCACAGTGTCCCAGACCCGCTGACACATCCCCCACACGCTGGTACTGGAGTCGGAAGGAAATACAAGGCAGCACTTGCCAACCCCAAAGAGCATTTTCCTACCCAAAAAAGGAGCCGCTTTGCTAAGCATGTCCTTTAGCCAAAGGCTGGCACTAACCATCCAAGTCCATCTCAGTTCGGCCCTCCTTGTGGTTACTCAAGACAACAGTGAGCATGAGTTCAAACAAGGCCTTATCCTCACCAAAACAAAGCCCAGAAAGGGGCAGCGCTGGCCAGGCTGGGAAGGAGCTCTCACCAGCTTGTCCCCGCATCACTGTCATCCTTGCTGCCTGTTCCTTGGGACTCTGATCCCCTCCAGCACCAGGCCAGCTGGGGGCCACTGGGACAGTGACTCTGGCATCTGCTGTGGCCCCGATGTGAATCCTCATCCCCTCTACACCGATCTCAGTCCCTGCAGCTCCCCACTTACACTCCTCCAAGGAGCCTCACTCTGCAGGTCATTTAAGCGGAACTTGCCTCTGTCTGACTTCTCACAGGCTCGAGCTCCTTTCTGGGGCCCAATCTACAGGACAGGCCTCCTTCCGCTGCAAACTGAGGGCCCCAGTAAATCCCAAGGCCCACTCACAATGACAGGAGGAAGGGCACCATGGTCTGAGTCTGACGCTATACACAGAGGGGCCATGATGCCAGCTAATGTTAACTTCTATGTAACTTATTTACTCTTCCAGGAGAGCTAAGAGGTAGATGCTATCAGAAGCCCATTTTCACTAAATTGAAGAAAAGGGCAAATACCAGGGATGATGGGGGACAATGGCAGAGATCTCCCTGTACCATTCTTACCAGCTGCTAGACCTCACGCAGGGCACCTGGTCTCTGCAGACTTGTTTCTTCAGTCTGTATAATGGGACAGAAACAGCTGCTTACAAGGCAGGGAACTGACGAGACATGCTACATGAACTAGAGAGCACAGTGCCAGCACACAGCAGGTGCTCACAAAACATCAGTTTCACTCTGCTTGGACCAAGAAGACACAGTGAGGGTCCTGGGTGTGGCTGAGTGGCTAGGTGACCCAGGAAAGCCACCGTCATTTGGTTGGGATGTCCTGCCCAAACCTCTCTGCCTGGAATAGACCCTGAAAGCAGGTGTGTAGCTTTCCTGTCTCCTCATCCAGCCTATGTCTCTGTCCCCTCTGCCCCTAGCACCAAGTGGTCCACGCAGCAGGGGCAGAGGGACAGCTTGCTGAAGGGCTGACAGCAGGCGGAGTGCACGTGAAGGGGACTCTGTCCACCAGCCTAGGGATCCCAAAGACATGAGTGACCCCAAGCACGAGCAAAGAGCCAGTCCTGAGCACTGCAGGCCAAGGACCTGTGGCCCAGACCCTGGGACTGGGGAAGCACAGAGGTCTTCCCAGACTCCCAAGGGAGGCATGGAAGCTGTTGCAGTCAAAAGAAGGGACCCTCCTGAGAACAGGAGACTTACCGTAGAATTCCCAGGGGATCCAGCTCCTCCTCCTCCTCCTCCTCCTCCTCCTCCTCTTCCTCGGACTTCTCTCCAGCCTCACTTCTCTGGCCCAGGACGGGCTGACCCACACTAGCCACTTGGTCCTGCTGCTCAAAGAAATCAAACGCCTCCTCACCATCTCCAGTCTGGCTTCCTGTGTCACCCAGGGCAGAAGAATCTCTGCTAGTGAGACCTGCAGCCCCTGGGGATCTGGTGCCTGTGAAGACAGAAAAGAAGGAGCTTCAAACCCCACCCTAGAGGCACAAAGCCACCTCACTACACCCTTGGACCTGAGGCTGGGACCAGACTCTGCCGGAGCCAGAACATTTGAGTCTGGGTGACATGAGGTGACACATCCAGTGTGCACAAAGTGCCCGCCGCAGCCCCTGACCACTGGTGGCACCAGGGAAGCCTGACAAGGTGTAGTCACATGGGAGCTTCAGAGTGCGGTCGAGGCGCTGATTCCTGAGCCGGTCTACAACCACAGGAATGGCCAGGCCCACAACCAATGGAGCAGCGAGCACAGGCCTGGCTAGAACAGGACCAAGTGTGGGGCACAGCAAGGGGCCCTGCTGACCCCTCAACAGAGGAGAACTGCTCCAGACCCGGAGCAGTGAGACTACCTCTGTGAGTGCCCTGCAGCCACGTGGGAGACTCTGGAACAAACTGTGCTCACCCCTTCTCAGAGTGCAGTCCACAGACAGGCATCCGTGATAAGGCAGGACAGACAGGGAGAGCAAGCGTCCAGAAGCTTCCGCAGCAAGCCTGGCATTAGCGCCACTGCTGAGCCTGTGGTGTCTGCCAAGGCACCAGCCTGTGATGGGCTGGGGATGAAAAAGCGATGCTTCCCCCTCAGACAGTCTGAGAAGCGTAGGTTTGGACGCTTTGTTCATCTCTACCCAAATACAGATTGGGAAGTTATGTTTTAAAGCATCTACTTCTTAAAAATATCACTCAGTAGTTAAAAAAAGTAAGAGCATTTTTTAACTCTCACAGGATGTACTAAGTGATAATGACTGCACTGTGTATTCTGTTCTGTTCTTTTATCCGAAGGTGAAAATATTGTTCAAAATCTTGTCACATTTCACATAATAAGCATCTTACATATAATACAAAATCCTGAGAGGAAAGTCACTGTGTATCCATGTTATGGGTGAGGAAACTGAGGCCCAGATTGGCTGGGGAAATTGGACCAGGCTGTTGCACTCTGCATGGCAGACAGGGCAGGGCATCTTGAGCCTTCTGCCAGCTGAGCTTGAGACCCTCATCAGCGTCTGCAGCCCAGGGATAGGGGCAGCAAGGGCTGTGGCCTGGAAGCCAATGGGGCAGGAGAATGTGCACAGGACAGAAAAATGGACACAGGAGGCCCTGGTTTTGTGCCCTTGAACTGTCCTGGCCCCTCAAAGCATTTGCTTGTTTTAGCTCACTGCCAACCCTCACTGTTAAAGTTGGTTTATTTGCTCTGAACGTTCTTTTGGAAAATTCCCTTCTGTCCCATGGAACTGAGTCAGAAAAGAGTTAAATGACTGAAAGCGGGAAGAAGTCAGGGGAGAGAGACTGGTCCCACCAGGGGTGGACTGCTCACCCTGAGGGCTGGGGACACCGCCTGCTGGGGTGGCGGGTGCAGGCTGGCAAGGTGGGGGTGGGGCCCCTCACTGGACCCTCTTGACCACCATCAGCAGGTTACTTCAGGTTACTGTCCCATTGTCAAGGACACCGACGAGAGACGGGCTGGACACTGCCTGGGAAAGCTTGAGGTCACCTCCATTATAGGATATGGAGTGCTGCAGTGCACCCACAGTCCTCTCCGGGCAACAAGGCCAAGAATGAGGTGCCCCAAGACAGGGTCACCAGCCAGGTGTGGAAGCAGAGCTGTTTCTGGTGTCACAGGCCCCAGGGCCAACTGGGAGGAGTGTGTGTGTGTGTGTGTGTGTGTGTGTGTGTGTGTGAGAGTGTGTGTGTGTGAGAGAGAGAGAGAGAGAGAGAGAGAGGGAGGAGGCCAACTGGGAAAGTCCTGGACAACGTCCTGCGTGACACTGTCTGCCATCCTGACAAGTCAGTCCTCCAAGGCCCGATCACATCCTCAGGAGCCAAGTCTCTCACCTACTATCCGGCCCCAGATATCAGTGATGCCCAGCTGCCTGAGCAGGGTGCATTCCTGCCGAGCCAGGGCAGTCAGGCCTGGTTCTGGGCCGGGAGACCTCAGGGACGTGGGACAGAGCCTCAGGTACCTAAGAACTCTAGCAGCTCAGGGCTGCCTGCCAACTGGACATCCTCGGCGACACAGCGCAGAATCTCACTGAACATGGCTCTCCTTTCCCGGATGTCAGAGTCCCCGACAAACAGGACCTTCCTGGGCAGTGGGGGCAGACTGGCTGTTGGGTAACGACTGCTCAGTTTGTGGTAAAACTCCTCTATCTCGCTGTACTTCTTGGAGACCTAGAACGAGAGGAGCATGCGGCTTCCTGAGAAGGTCGGGCAGGGCATGACGTGGCCTCACCCCAACCACCATTCTTTGGGAGTGCGCCGGGGCAAGGTGCCTGCTGCCTTCCACCCGCCTCCCTGCCTCAGGCTGGCCCCTCTAAAGCAACTGAGAGGCTCGGGGGAGAGATGCAATGGTGTGAGACCCAGGTACTGACTCAGGGCTGGGTGAGGCAGTCAGTACAGGGATCCGTCCTGGCCTGCAGGTGACCCCAGATGCCCCTCTGTTCTGGGCTTTCCTCTCAGGAGCAGGGTGATCTCAGTGCCCAAAGACTGTCAGGTCACCTTCAGGCAACCCCGTGAGTCAGCGTGTGTCAGAACAGACCTCTGGATCGTTCATTCTCTCCTGTGAACCACAGGCAGCCTTCTGGTGGGGCCAGTCCTGACAGGCAGCAGGGCCGGACACCACCAAAGCTGCTGCCAGCCTCCCGCAGCATGCCAGGATCTGGGTGAACACAGCCAGGGCTCCTGCCACCACGGTAGGAGTCCTGAGCACCATCTGGGTCCCTTTCTGCTGGTGCAGGGCTTGGCTTTCTGCTGGGCCCCAGACTGGGCAACACCCGGGCAGCCAAGGGCTCGAGTGCTCACTGATGGAGTTCTGCTGCGTGTGTGCTCTGCTGCGTGTGTGCTCTGCCAGGATACCCCGGCACTCCGAGGCTCTCAGTCTGTGTGGGGTGAGTGGCCACAGCACAGTGGGCTTAGACCATCAGTCTGTGGTCTGTACAGGCACCTACCCCATGCCACCGCTTCTGCAGCAGCCACCTGCCCCCTGGCTCCCCACAGCTGAGCTGGTCTCCCTGATGGGTCTAAGAGCGTGGGGGAGAAGGCATGGCCAACTCACACTCACACCCAGGGCCTGGCCTGCACTCTGAGCCCGCCCTGAGCATGCTGGGCACAGCTGGACTGCAGGTACTCTGGCATACACAGGCCCTGGAGGCCTGGTGACCCCTGCATGGTGTCAGATCACAGTACCCCCAGCTTGAAGGTTTTCGGCACCAGGACGTATGGGGGCTCCAGAACCTCCTAAACAGGGAGTCACCTGGGACAGAGCTGCTGTCTGCAGTTGTCGGTGCCCAAACCTGATTCCAAAACTTTGCTGAGAATGGCCTTCCAGGAAAGGCCAGCGATCCTTTCGGGACTGACTGCATCAGGCCCTGACGGGGGTTTAGGGAGCGACCCTGATTCCTGCCAGGAAGGCACAGCAGGCTGCTGTGGGGGCGGAGCGCCCCCTGCTGGCAGGACTGCTCCAGCAAGCCAGGCCACAGGCTCAGAAGTAGGAAGCACCAAGACTGGAGTTCAGCCTGAGCTCCAGCCCGATCCTGGCTACATCCATCAGCATCGGGGCCAGGGCATCTCAGGCAGCTTCCTACCTGCATTAGCAACCGGAAGGGACCAAGGGGGAGACACGAAGCACCGCTGCGCCAAGGCGAGAACTTACACTTATCCGTGGCCCTTGTGTGCCAGGCAGCGGGCAGACAGGTGCTGCCCGTTCCTCCAACTTGTGCGGTGCAGCTTGTGGGGCTGCCCAGCTACACAGGGGGCACCTGGCAACCCTCAAGCAGTGCCCCTTCCTGGGCTGGCTTTACTGCACAGTCTGTGCTGTAAGGTGATTCTTGGTTGTCAGTGGTTGGAAGAACACCCAGGAGACGAGTAGAGCACACTTCGGTGTGTCTGGAGTCAGGAGACTCTCACTGGCCCCTGGGCCCTTCCTTTCTGCCGGTCCAGGGCTTTGCCCCCTTGCTGCCATCTGTGGGCAGATTTACTCTGCCAGGCCCTGCCCCCACGATGTTCCTGCTCGGAGCCTGCGATTGTGGGCCGAGTTGTCTGAAAGCTCTCCTCTTTTAGCCATGCATGTCAGGTGTTTTGTCCTAGCAACACGAAACCAACTAATACAGCCATTAAACACCTTTGTGTAATTTTCCTTAAAGTGTCCTTTTGAGGAGAAGGGGCAAAGTGCTCATTCCTTCAGCTAAATCATGAAACTCCAGAGACTTCAGGCAACTGTGGGCTACTTCCAGATGGCACAGGGCTGAACACTTCTCTCTGCCCTCACAGGTACCCCCACACACAGTGTATGCTTGCACATCACAGGACATGGGCATCGCTGGCGAGGCCAGGGTAGCACTGGTGCGGCTTGTGGGGCTGTCGCAGACATCCTCACCTATGCCCGCGTGTGGCCCAGGGCACAGGCCCGAGCTGGCCCAGCGCTCCTCGAGGGCTCCCAGCCTACCATCCTCGCCATGCACACAGGAGCATCAACCTCAAATCAAATCCTCTCCTTTTCTGATGCTGTCCTTGAAGACACAAGTCTTAGTCGAGTTCCTCACCACTGGGACGAGGCTTACCTAGGCTGTGCTTTCATCCCTGGCTTGGTCCAGGCGTGGTGGACCTGCCCTGCGGAGGACAGCTGCTCACAGAGGGCAGCCAGGAAACAGGGAAGGGAGGAGCACAGAGGGAGAGCCCCTCTTCCAGGCCACGGCCCAAGATGGCCTCTTCCGGCCCCACCTCCTGGCAGCCCCTCCCCAAAGCCTGCCTCTGAGCACCTGCGGCTCTGGGGGACACCTAGACCTACGCTACATGGGTGCATGGGGCTCCTCCCTGGCTCCAGTGAGTCTGTCAGGAGCTGCAAACGGCCCAGAAGAGTGGGGCCACACTCCGCGCAAGGCCGCCCGTAATGATGAGGTGCAGTCACATGAGGAAACGTCACCGCTACCTCAGGCCACTGTCCCGATGCCATGAACGTCCCCTGGAGAAAAGCTGTGCCTCACACTTCTCTTAGGGTTCGTCTCATGTAACAAGCCATCCAAACTGCAATTAATTTTTCCCCTGTTCTGTGGCTGCCAGGAGGCTCAGGACCAACCTGCACTTGAGCCCGCAGCAAGCTGCTCCCTGCTGTCGCACAGGACTCCAGCTCATTCTGCCTTAGCTTGTGTCCTGAGCCTGTCCTTCCTGGCCACGGGGTCCAGGCCCTTTTCACAGGAGGCCAAGAACCTGAAGCCCTCATCACCCAGCGCCTGTGATCCACGGGCCCAGCGCTCTTCCTTCCTGCCTGCCTCTGACTGCTGGCGTCCCCGGGCCTCCTCCTCAGCCTTTCTGCTTCCAAATCTGTTCTCTAGACCACTTCATCCACTCCCAGACTTTTACCATCCCCTCCAAACTGACAGTCTCCAAAACCTGCATCAGTCCACACCCAGTCCTGCGTGTGGGTTCCCGTGTCCACCAGCAGGCAGACGCTCCTCCCTCAGCACCCCCGTAGAGCTGCCTTTCCATCTACACAGAGAGCGCTGCCAACTGTGTGCAGGTTACCTCGTCACTTCCAACCCCTTGCCCACCTCCCTTACTGACTGCAGCCTCCGGCTCCAAGTCTTAACCTGGGGATCACTGCACCGGACACCCAGGCTCCTGCACCCTGACTTCCTCCTTCCGATCCAACCCACGCCCTTCCCCCCAGGCCAATGGGACCACTTCAGGCCCCTGCTTAAAATTCCTACTTGGCTGCAGGACAAACCCAGGCACAACTTGGATCCTGCCTGGCTGCCTTCATCTTCTCCCCACTTCTGCTCAGGATCATGTTCAACTGTTTGGAGTTCCCCATGCCACCTTGCCAGCATCCTCAGGCTGTGCCCTGTGCCCGGGACACCCCTTTTAACACTGCTGAACTCTCAACCTTTGAGGGGTCTCAAGAGTGCTACCCTGGGTGAGTGAGGCACCCACTCCCCACACTCCCAGGCCTATGCTCTCCATCACTGCTTGTATCTCCTCTACTTGGCTCTGCACGTCTATAAGCATCAGCTTGCTCCTGGGCCCCATCATCCGTCAGAGTGTGGCACTCCAGGAGGATGTGACCTACACCCCGAAGGCAGGAGTGTCTGCCCACCTGGGTCTTAGGCACCCTTGCAGCACCCCAGCTACAGGGCCCCGCTCACCAAGAACTGAACGGCATCCTCGGGCTTGTGCTTGGCTGATTTGAAGGCGGCCAGCCGGGTTACCACCAGGATCTGGTATTCCACATGGCCGGAGAGCATCCTGCCCCGCACTTCTTGGTGTTGGGGCACGGACAGGTCAAGGCCGGTATGGACATTCTGGACCTGCCTGCCAAGGAAAAGAAGGCAAAGTTTGGGCTCAAGTCAGCAGGTTCCTCCTGAGGGAACACAGGGGCCCTCAGCTGCTGCTGTGCCTCCCGGAGCACCTCACAAACCCTTGGGCTGCTCAGGGACGGTCTGTGCTTGGCAGGAAACAAAGCAGGACGGGGCCTGTCAGCACAAGCAGCTTGGTGTTTCATCCAAACTGCTGTGTGAGCTCTGCAGAGTTAGTGGGCAGCAGCGGTGTCCTGTGGGCTCCTTGTAGATCAAGGAAGGGGTCAGGTCTGCACAGACAGTGCAGGACCGAGACCTTCCCAGAAGCTGACAGACACCTCTTCCACCTGCCAGACGCAGGGCCGTGCAGCACAGCCAGCCAGCGAGGTAGCAGGAAGAAGGCAGCTTCCTGCTCCGGGCAGTCAGGGCCACCCCTCAGGGGTGTAAGGATGTACCAGCTACCACAGCGCTCAGAGCTGCCATTCATTCCAGACACCAGAAACTTGGGTTCTGCAGACTGCAGGCAGCACAGACGTGACAGCCACTCTCTCTGAAGGGAGAAAGATGCTTCCCACTGCTCCCCTGCTGTAGCCGTGCCGCAGGGCTGTGCAGACAAAAGACATCATGCCCACCACAGGCAGGATGACAGGCTCTTCTCCCCACGGAAGACCCGCGTTGCACTGGCCACTCCTCAGGACAGTGAGGCCCAGGCCAGGCCAGGTCCCTGCAGTCTGAACTGTGGCTGGCCTTGCCTCCTCTCTGGAGCCAGCCCCCAGGCGACCCAATGCTGGGTCCCAGGACTCCTTGCAAACGGCTCTGCATATGCCCACCAAGCACTCGGCCAAACCATGCTCCTGTCAACATACGGGGCAGCCAGCCACGAGGCATCCCATGTGCAGGGTGCCCACCGGTGAGCACACACCCTCATGCAGTGTGAGCAGAGCCCTCGGAAGCCTGGGCAGGTCTGCTGCTGACGCTGTACGACATGAAACACACCAAGGAAGAGCCGCCTTCTGCCTTCTCTCGCCAGCATCCTCCGCCTGAGGCTGGGCATGGACAGGCGTGAGTGTGACAGTGCTACCGTCACGAGGGCAGGAGGGAAGAGCGAGGCTGGAGGCTAGGGTGGCTGGGACACTTCCACCTCCTCCCTTAGCCCTACAAAGGGCCCCCAGAAGCACCCGCAACACAGGGGAGTAGTCCCCAGGGGAGTGGCTGGCCCCAGGTCCCGGGGTCAGGCAGGGCGGGCTCAATCCCAGACAGCCACACCAGGGCCCAGGTGGCTGCTAAAGAAACGAGGCACCTCTACTCCTTTCTCTTTTTCTCTCCCTCCTTTCTTTTTTTTTTTGTTTTCCTTCTTCCCTCTCTCCATCCTGAGGATTGAATCCAGGGCCTTCACACTGAGCTACATCTCCAGCCTTTTTGACTTTCACACAGGGTCTCACTAAGTCACTATGCTACTCACGCTGAGCTTGAACTTGCAGTCCTCTTGCCCCAGCCTCCCAGAGTGCTGAGATTACAGGCCTGATTTACCATACCTGACGAAGGCGCCTTTTCTGCAGGACCATTATGAAAGTGAAGTACAGCGGAGAGCCTCAGGCCCCCTCCTCACCTGGACCACCTGAAGCCCCAGGGGCCCTGTTCCGACAAGTGTCCCACATCCCACTGCGTTGGAGGCTATCTGTATGTGGGGTACCACTGTGCCCCGTCCCTGTCCCTCCCTGTGTGTCTGCCAAGGTCCCGCTCGACTGACCTCTCCCCTGGGGCTGAGACGGCTGAGGGAGGAAGCCCAGTTCTCACTCTGCCTCTTCGGCCACTGTGCCGGGTATCTCAGCCTGCCTGGCACAATCATGCTGCCCAGTTCCACCTGAAGCTCATGGCCACTGACCTAAAGCCCTCGCTGTGGTCTGGCCACCCTACTTCACACCCCTGGACCCACACTAGTGCACGCCCAACACACACCAAGTCAGAAACCGGGTGGGCAAGCAATGTGCCTTCCAAGAAGCCCAGTGTGACTCTGTGGCCTGGGCCTGGGTCTCTGGCTCCGAGCCCAAGGCCCCTGGAACTTAGGTAACAGGCCAGACAGGAAATACTCGGGGCTCTGTGGGACACTGGATCTCAGCTGCAGCTGCTCCACTCTGCCTCTGGGGGGAACCCACTCTACCTACACAATGAGTGGCTTCTTGTAGCAAGGGGCATACAGCAAGTACTGGGCAGGATAGGCACACACATCATATACCCACCTGTGTCCTACACCAAGCTGCTCAAATTCACCCTGCGGCCAAGTCCCCGGATCTTGTCACATACAGATCCTACGCCAAGGCTCTAGCATGGCACTAGGCTGCTCCAGAGACCAGCTGCTGAGTAGAGCAGAGCCCAAACCGCCCCTCTCTGCAACCCCAGCATCAGCTCTTCCCCGACGACTCTGCTTTTTATCCACCGAGGCAGTGAAGCAAGCAGAACAGCTGGGCTTCTGGCATGTCTGTCAATGGGCCTGCACCCTGCCTCCTCCTGGTCCCCTCCTGTGGTTTTGGCCGATGCCTAACGCCAGCCCCTCACCTCCTGGGGACGGTGCTTCCGCCATGTCTCCCAATCCCTCGCTGCTGATCCTTCCCGTGGCAGGCAACCTGGTCCTGCCTGCTCCTGTCAGGAAAGCTGTCTGAGCCCATCTCCACCTCACTCCGCTCTCCCTACCCGGCAGAGCTCAGAAGAGTGGCAGTATGCGGGCACTCCCCTCTACAGCCCTGAGCTCCCTCCAGCTGGACTCCAGTCCTCATGATGTCACCGAGCAGCCCTGGCCTGGGTCACTCACGACCCCCACGGTGTGACACCCAGAGGTTAGCTCCTGTGTCCTCTCCACAGCTCCCCCTCAGCACCCTCTTTAGCCCTGCTTCTTCTCCCAGCCCTGCCCAGGCACGCGAGCTTGCTCAGGTCCAAGGCCTCACAGACCATTCCTGGAAAGCAGCTCCCGACTCCAGCCTTCAGTCCCTGGTCTCCCCTCAGGGCCGTCCTCCTTGCACACACCTGCCCCGCAGCATCTGGCGGTCAATAAGCCCCTGAAAATTCACTGGCCAGCACCCATGCAGCATCCCAGAACTAGAGCCCAGCCACCACTCTCCACGCCTTTTTCCTCACGTCCCACACCTCACCACCAGCAAACCCCAAAGTCCAATCTCCGAAGCACGTCCCAGCACCTAAGCACCTCTCAGCCCGCATGTCCCCTCCGCCAGTCTCCTCACTCCGTGTGGACTCTCCCTGCGCCCACAGAGCCCTCTGCTCCGCCAAAGCCACGTCACACTGCAGCCAGGGGATTTCTGCGACACTGTTCAGCTCATGCAGCCACCGTGCTCCTGTAGTCCATCCCACTCAGCGTGAAACCACACAGCCTTACCACGTCCACAGGGCCCTCCTGGCCCCGGCCCGGGCCACCTTTCCACTCCATCAGCTGACCCGCCCCCTGTCCTTCCCCTCCTGGTGGCCTGAGGACACCAGCTCCTGCTATCTCTGCCCGGGACACAGCTTTTTAGTATTTCTTTTCCAGGGCCCTCTCTCTCGGGGAGATTATTGGAGACCCACCCAGCAGCCAACCTATCAGAATGATGCTCTCCCGCACTAGGTAAAATAGCACTCACAAATATCACTCTGCCCCCTACAATCTATTTTCCTTCCCTGGCACTTGTCAACACTGGCATATTCTTAATTCACCTAAAGCTCCGGGAGTGGGTCCTTGTTTTGCTCCCCACTGCCTTTGGTACCAGCCCAGAGCAGGTCCTCCATAAACACATGCCAGCTGAAGGGACGCAGGGACACAGGCGGAGCAGGGGGGCTGCTCGGCCAAGGCATCTGTACACAGCCTGCAGGCAAGTGTCCCGGGTCTGTGCCAGCCAGCAGGGAGGGCGGTAGGGGTGGGGTCCCCCAGCCTGACCACGGCAGGAGATGGAAGCCAGCGGCACCCAGGGCACACCCCGCGGGCGCTGCTGTGCGAGCTCACACCTGCCAAGCCGGCTCACTCTGCGGCACAGCGGGCAGCCTCGGAAACAGGGAGTCTACTGGTGACAAGGAGCTTTTACCAGCGGGGCGGATCTGACCCGCAGCCTCGCGCTGCCACACTCCGCAGAGGACTCCGGCGCTTCTGACCCAGGGTTTCCGTGAAGAGTTAATTTTTCTACACCCGGAGCCACAAGAAATTCGGAGTACAGGTGGAAGATTTTGAAGGGGCTTGGGGGCGGGAGGAGGGGTACAGCGCGCCGTGTCCCTCCCCTCTCTCCAGGGCCCTCCAGGGCCGGCTGGCCAGGCCTCCCGGGTGACTGCGCCGCATCCTCTGCCACGCCTCCACTCCTTTGCTGCAACTTACTTTTCCGGTACCGGGAAGTGCACCCCGGCCCTTTGCTCCCGGTACATCTTCGCCCCCACCTCTTCTAAAATTGTGAGACCAAGTCTCAAAAGTCACCCAGGTTGGGCTCAAACTTTTGACCGTCCTGCCTGGCGCTGGGGTACGGGCATGCAGCCCCACGCCCAGCCGTCCCGCTTACCCCACTGCGAACTCTCGCCCGGCGGCGCCGGACCTCGCTCCGCCCGCCCGCGCCCCGCCCCCAGACAGCACCTGAGGCCCGGCCTGCGCGCGGAGGGGCGGACCTTGGTCCCCGCCAGCTGACCGCGAGCTGCAGGCGGACACGGAGTCGCCCAGGCCCAGGCCCAGGCCCAGGCCCAGGCCCAGGCCCAGGCCTCTGCTGGGCCTTGGGTGAGGTCGGCGCCCTCCAGGGCCTCAGTTTCCCCATCTGTACACGGGGCCACCGGACGGCGCCACCTCTCCGCGGGGGCGGGGGGACAGCGGGACCCGGACCGGGACCCGGACCGGGACCAGGACCGGAACCGGGACCGTGCCAGGGCGCACCCCGCGCCCCAGACCCGTGCGCAGGCGCGGCCAGATGGTCCGGGCTCACCTGGAGGTGACGAGCACTACCGGGGCCTGCATGGCGGAGGCGCGCGGTCACGAGACCCGTGGCGCCGGCGTCGTCGTCCCCGCCCCGGCTC